TTGCACCGCCGAGGAGCTTCTCGAGGCGCAGAAACACCAGCCACTGTCCCTCCCAGGCCGCCGGACGACGATGCCGTCCAAAGGCACCAATACATTGGCCGCGAGGACATCCGGGGTCGCGGGCAATCCGGTCGACCCCACTAACGCTGCTGAGAACACAACGAAAGGCGTCCTCGATAGCCCTGATGAGGGTCAATCCTCGAACGCGTCCCCACAGGAGCTGATACAGGCCCCACCGGGCTCCTTCTGGGTCCGCGGCTCAGGTGGGCTGGACGACAGCTACACCGACATCACGGAGCCGAATCTCGCCATGAGCCCGAAGATGGATAAGCAGCTACAGCAGGCAATCTACCAACGCACCAAAAAGCTCGATACCGCAGCGGCGGCAGCCATAAGCAAGGGTTATTGCTGTGTGCCTCCAGAAGGAAACGTTGCCACAGCTTCAGCGGCGGTCTTTAACCCCTATAGTGATATTATGAACATTGACTACCGTGAGGGGACACTCAAAATTGAGGAGGTCATCCTTTCGTGGATGCGCGCCGTATACTTGCAGACCCGCAAAATCCGTGAGGACGAGTATGGGTGGCTGTTCGACCCCCATGGTCGCCTCGTGCGCCTTGATCGATATACCTTCTACCGCTTCGAGCACGATGGAATGCGTTTTTTTATTGGTGCCACAACACGGTTTATTGGGCAGCAACAGCGAATTGAGAAGATGTTAGGGGAGTTGAATGCTATGGAGAAGCGAGTGCAACGCATGTCATCGACAGATGAGGATAAAGCAACTTTGAGCGGCACCGTCGAGGCCTCGGCAGGTCTGGACAAAGATTTCCTAATTAAGAAGCACTGCTGCTGCCGTAACCCACCTAGAGTTGGAAAGCCTTTCGCAACATGGGGGATGACTATTGATGACCCGAAAACCTTTTTAGAAATAGTGGATGATGAAGAAGAGGACATGTTTCACCTCGAACATATTGGTTATGACGAGTACCTCGTTTCGGATGATTAAGAGCGTATGAAGTGGTAAGAAGGGGTGGTGTGCGTAAGTGTGCCCTCCTCCTCTTTACCTCTTTGGGCATCAAAGTAATGAAAATGCGGCGGCATTCGAGGACTAATGAAATAAGCTTCGTTGCGTGGTAAACCTGATAGCGGGTGACTGTTAACCTCGACACGTCAACCCATTTTTAGCTCCTGTAAGCCCTAGTTTCATCCGTCGAGGATTTCTTTCTTGTTTTTTTGTTTGTTTCCTTTTCCATTACCATCCTATCTTTCGCATTACTTTGATCGCATTATTTTTGAAATGCTTTCTTTTTACCCGTGTTTGATTGCTATCGTTTGGTTAATACGCCTCATAGAAATGAGAAGTTTTATCATAAGTTAGAGCCCTGCACAGAAATGCAGATCCCCACCCCTTTTACGGCTTACAGTGGCAAATAATTAATATTTGTCTTGAAGCTCATCCGCAAAGCGATCAATGAAATAAAGCATTATCTTTGTAATTATAAACTCGCATGAAGTAAAAAAAAACGTCAGTTTTTAATTATATCTCCATATATGCGGATCTTTGGGGTTTTCTTAAATGTTTTAGATACCTTACACGGCCTTATTTTTGAAGTACTTTTTCCTCTGTCGTTTCCAGAAACGACAAGAGCCCCACCCTTTTTACTTATTACAAAGTAAAGTAATGAGCGAATGAAAATCTTAACTAATTTTATCTCGGTCAATTTTATTTGGTGGGTCCACATACGTGGATGTAGGTATCTTTTTTCCTTGATTTCTAAAATGTGTGATTCTAAGCTTGGTTTCACCTTTTCCATCCTTTAAAAATTTTGTATCAGACATAAAAAGAAGCTTCTGTTTTCACCTTCATCGCATTCTTAGAAACTAGTTGAACATCGTCCTTATCAAAGAATACGAAATCACTATTCTTTTGAAAAACTTAGCATACCCCTCTCCACTATCATGCCGCATCAGCTCCAGTCCACCGGTCAGATTAGCTGTCAAGGCTGCTACGTCACCCTCGCCTACCCCATCGGCGCCCCTTCCGTCCGATGCCCGATGTGCTCCACCGTTACCACCGTCCATCAGTTCAGCGTCACCTGCGTTTGCTGCCGCTGCGTGTTGATCCTTCCGCAGAACACGAGCCTCGCGATGTGCCCGCGATGTCGGACAGTGATGTCAATCCCCGCGAGCATCCGCGAGGGCGGCGACGACCCCCGCGCCCCCCCCCGTCAGTGTGTGTACATCGACAAGCCCCCTACAATTGATGCGTCCGGCCGGAAGGTCACCCATCTCGCCGTCGGCACCAAACTCGACGACGATGTCCCCAAGGAAGCGAAAAAATAAAGGGGTAGGAGAATGGGAATCAAGCGGTTCTAGAATATAGTTAAACGGGAACAAAAGGAACTGAAAAGAGGGGAACGGACTCGGTCGCATGAATTTTTTATCCGATATTAATGTCTTGTTTCCCCTTCTCACTTGTATGCAGTAATGCATATACACACATGTTCTTCTGTGTCATGAGTGCATTGTAGAAGCTATGTATGTGGAATCTATTTTTTTCTTGAGGGGGGGGGGGGGCAAGGAGAATTTAAGGAAGTGCCTCATAGCGATGAAGCCTTTTTATTGGTGCACTTTTCTTATTGCTAAGGTTCTTTTTTGCTGGTGCGGGAGGGATAGGATAAACCAAGTACCCGCTCTATCCCTTCTTCTTTTAGAGGTTCATTTTCAAATCATCAATCCCTTTTTGCTGGTGTATAGTGTATTTTTATGTTTCGGCCTTGTTGATGATAATTATATCATCTTTGTTGTTGATCTTTATTTTTATTATGAACTTTTTGCAACTTTGATGCATTATATATTAAAATAAACTTTTATACACTTCACTATCACTACCCACTATTGAACGTCGTAACTAAAGTACTCATAGGGGATTAAGCAGAATGAGGGGGACAACCTAAAGTCCATATCTCATACCACAAAGGTTAGCAAATTGACGTGAGCTGACCGTTAATGTTTTTGCTTTACTAAACACTCAAATAAATTCTTAATGATTCTGAAGTTCATTTTCCCCGCTTTTAACTGTTTGACAGTTTTTATAAATACCATTAGGGCATAATAAACAAATTGAAGAGCAATCATCTTTTGAAGCTCTTCTATCACATTAAAACGCTCAAGGTGATATGCCGCGTCCTTTTACAGGGACAAAAGCGATGAATTTCGCGTCGTTATATCTTCCTCCCCTAAAAGGGTATTCTACAAGATGTGCGTGAGCGCATGGATATATGAACGCACTAACTTACTGCTATTTTTATTCCCCCTCCACAATCTCCACATTTGGCATCTTCTTCTTACCGAAGTCATAAATTAGTTGTGCGAGGCATTGTACAAGAACGACAATGTAAGGGGAGGGAGAGGGCTACAGTAAAATAGAAAAACCAAGAAATAATACTCCCGTTATTACTTAGTGCTCAGAACCGGAATGCTAGATGCATCGTACTATGGCGCTATTCACTCTGTTCCCTCCATTCACTTTATGAAACCTGATGCGAGAACCCGAACGTGTTTTGTATTAATGAATTTATACTTCCATTTATTAGGCATTCACCTTCTTATCCATTTTTTGTAGTTTCTTACCACTTCAATAAAGCACTTTTCAATAGACTGAAATAACTGCGGAGTAGAAAATAAAAAGGAATACAAAGCGGGGACAGGTTTTCAGAACTTAAATCACTTTACACACAGAAAAGGGGGTTCCATCCTTTTCAATCTCCACAACTCAACCACTTAGCTATTAATGATAGCACCGTTATTTGCCTTGATACACATACACGTGCCAGAATCCTTGTTTACTTATTCAGGACAGGATACCTATCCTCGTAAATCGGTCAATACACGGAACTCTATCTAGATCGATCACGCTTTTCACTTTTGGCGGGGAGCTACTTTCTACCACTTTGAAAAAAAGAAAAAAATGATGCATGAGAATATGCACCCAGAGGCCAACCCCAACGTCTCTAGCGATTCCGCGCGCGACACGGGCTCGGGGAGTGTAAATTCCCTATCCCTGACGACCTCCGCGGAAGGGGGTGCCGCGATGTGTGGGGCCACGATGGGCGCCTCGCTGAAGGTGCCATCGCTCCCTGTAGGCGTCCTCGTCGATGAAGACTCCGCGGTCGAGCGGATATCCTACCACTCCCTCCAGACCGCGTCCTCCGACGACGTCTCGTACAGCCGCCCGATCTCGGCGGGCGCCACGCCAAACTGCCCCTCCCCTGTCGCCGCCACGCCGAGGGCGGTCTTCGACGTCGGGCAGGTCCTCGCGCCGATGGAGGCGCTGCCCGTCGTGGC